ATTTGGCTATTTTAAGTGGAAAGTAGCTAACAAATATATCTATTTGGGACAAATTTGATTTAAAAATAAGGAAAAATAAATAAACAACAAACCTTTACAATAAGGGGCAGGTCGGTTCCAGGTTCCCTCGTATGTGCAAAGAAGGAGTGCTTCACCTACCAGCAGGTAGCCTTGGCTGCATGTGTACAGGACTGACATCCCAGGAGAAAATCGAGCTATGTCTCCACCAGTATGATTCCCATTGGGGATCTTAAATGGATGCTGACATCCTGTGAAAGCTTAGATACCAATATAAAAGGACCTTTAATTTAGTACAGAGGAACACATAGCCAATGCTATCTGTGGGTCATAGCAATACAGAGTGAAGGCAGGCAGCAAGCCAACTAATTGGTTTCTAGAAATATTCATTCCGCCCAGATCAAGCAGTACTCAGGAGAGATTTGCATTTCCTGCCTATATCATATATGATCTGGAGACAAATCTCAAATGTAAGATGATGAAACATCAATGGTTTAAGCCCACAATTTTAATCTATCAACCAATAATATTCGTTTTTCTTTTCTTTTAAATGGTAGAAAGGCTGCAGTCAAGGGTCACACACTCAAATGCTTACAGAAGCTGACAAGTGAAGCCACCAGATATGATAAGTCAGAAAGCATCTGTCCTTCTAAAAAGGGTAGCCACTGCCCATTTCAAGCTACTAGTGCCTTGCAGGAAGGCAATGGCAGCCCTTCCTATATCACAGATCCACCCTTTGTCTTGGGCAGTGGAGACTGGTTTCACTTTGAATAAGACTACTATGCTAGCCAGAGAAACCAGGTTTGAACTCAGTTCTTGGGTCACCGACTGGCAGCCTCTGTTGTAGATAGACACTAATGGAGGTAAAATTACCAATGATAACTAAAATTACAAGAAAGACAATTCAGTGGGTCCATTCTACAGAACATCCAAAGATCTCTTTCTGGCTAGTATCACAGCCTTAAATATCAAATTATCAAGTAATATTACTGCCAAACAATTGCACTCCCCAAAAGGCATGTGCATTTTCCTATTCTAAATTAATAAAAAATAACAAACCGGGGAGACTCCATCAATTTAGAAGTTAACCATTATCTTTTCATGTACTTTTGTTCAACACACTTAGAAAGGAAAGGGAAAAAATCATGAGGTGAGATGGTAAGGCAGGTATTTCATAAAATAATGATTACATCTTAGCTTTTACTTAGTTTTCTTTAGGCAGAATGGCAAGTGTGATTCAAAACCATTTTTCTTTACTTTGTGCAACATCCCATGTTTTATTCCTTAAAATATCTTACCCTTTTTGATACAAGTTGGTACAGCTGGCTCCCATTTGTTGTTGGTATTACACTTAATCAAGTTACTGCCATTCATGATGAAGCCAGGATTGCAGGCAACATACACTATGTCATTGTGGGAATATGAAGACTGAGTTTTATTTAGTTTGTATCCATGTGTGACTTCTGGGTTAGGGCAGTGAGTCACAGGGGGAGATTTTAAGCACCGTGGGGGAGGTCCACTCCAAGATCCACGTCCTTTAGAATCCTTTATGCACCGTATACTTTTCTCTCCC